TCCTGATGTCAACCCTATTGAGGATTGGGATTATTTAGAAAGAAAAATCAGAAGACACCAAATAACCAGCAAAGAATCTTTGAAAGCTGCGTTAATCCAAGAATGGAGCAAGATTCCACCTTCAGTAACCCAAAAGCTGGTGAAGTCCATGCCATCCAAGTTGAGTGCAATTAAAATATCCACAGGCTATCCAACGAAATATTAACCGTCCATCAAAGCTCAAAAATAAACCTTTTTTTTCGCAATTTATTTTTAGTGCATACAAACTTTAGTGACGTAATTTTAAGCTATTGGAACATTCTTTTCTGTATTTTGAAAAATTATTACTTTAAGTTTGGGTTTTTTGTTATTGGAGACATATAAATATATGAAATAATTGAAAATATAAAAAGAAATTGGTTAATGATATTAGTTTTAAGGCTTTTTTTCGCATGACAAAACAGATAACCACGCTGCATACTTATTTTTGTGATACACTGTATAGGTATAACATATTTGGTAAATGTATAGTTAGGTCCCCCCACTAAGGAGGCCTCAAAAATTATTATTAATACCTATATAAATTATTTTTTTTTGTAAATCGGGTTATTTTTACTCGAACATTACAAGCCAGTGAACGGAAAGTAATTTTTTTCAATAATTTATGTATATTTTTACAAATATATTTAACGAACTTTGCACATAGTCACTTGTTGTTGTTGTTGTTGTTGTGGTAGCAAAATTCTGAAGAATTCAGATCACTTAGCTGTAATAACCACTTCAGCGAGTTAAACATTTTTTTGTGAAAAAAAAAAATAATGAAGATATGTAACTGCCACAATTTCTTTTGCGCCGCGATTTGATGGTATGGACGAATTTTGGAGATCGTCGAACTCCTTTCCGCACTGGCGGCCTTCGCCTGCGCTTCAAAAAAATAACCCTGGTCGGTCCAAACCGGGGTGTTCATAATTCAATCGCGTCAAACTCCTTTCAGCACTGGCGGCCTTCGGCCGCGCTTCCAAAAAAATCCCTAGTCGGTCCAACACCGGGTTGTTCATAATTCAATCGCGTCAAACTCCTTTCCGTACTAAAAAAAACGTTTTTTTTTGTTTCCTTTTTTTTTTGAAAAAAAAAAACAGAAATGTTGAAAAAATTCACTTTCCGCTCATAGATTTGTAATATTCGCGTCAAATTAAAACGTTTAAAAAAAAATTCCATTTATGAGGCCTCCTTAATTGGTGGACAAACTATACATTAACCATATTTTTTTTTTTTAATTTATAAAATATATGCATTAAGGTGGAAATTGTCATAAAAATTACTTTTTTTCATACTAAATATACACATTTCTAAATTTTGTGCGTTCAATAAGTTTTGAGGTGAGTTGAAGGAAAAAAAAAGCATTGCAACATGTGAGATTGAAACTCCAGTAACCGAATACCATTCGAGTCCTCTCAGATCTTAATATTTATTTGACGCCGTATAGTATGTTTTAATTGAGAATTACTTCCAATGTATCAAAACATTGTCTACAGAGCTGATTTTCCTTATGTGTGTATAATACAATCAAATGAAGTAATTGTAAATTACACTTTCTTTTAATTATTCTTTGATCCACTTCACTCCTTTAACATTTTTTTATGAATGGTAATGGTGTATTTTTGAATAAAGTTTGAATAGTTAAACTTTTTTTAAAAGGTTTTGATCGATCTTATTATCGTTGGAAAATTTTAAATGTACATACCACTTTTGCATGTGCAATTGCTAATACTATGTATTATACAACGTGTATTACTATATAGAAAGAACTCACCAGTAAACAATAGCCTAGATGATAATAAAATCTAGTTTTTTTCTTGGATATGTCGCCGCATTTTTAAGTTTTAATTTATAACTTTCGCAAAATTTCTCACATTTTAGCGAGCATAAATAACATTTAATAGCAAAACACTACACCCTAAATATTGTTAGGTGGTATCTAACGTTTAGCCCAAATCGATGCGTAACAAGCACGCAAAACACAAAGGATATGGCAATGTAGTAGCTGTGGGAGCGAGAACAGTGGCGACCGAACACAGCGAGCGACGGCGAAGCCTACCGCAGTACACGGACGTAAGTCAGTTCCAGCCTTTAGTAATTAAGGCTTCTATATCAAAAACAATACATTTCATACATTCTGTAATACTTATACTCTCACAATTCTACCCGAAATGTAATTAAATTCATTATTTTATTGGAATACATTTATTGTATTGCATAGAAAATATTTATGTACTCAAGGTGTAAAAATCGAACGAGTTAAACTTCGTCAAAATGTCGACTTGTAACAGTGTTGCCAACAACATTTACTTTACCTAGAAAAAGTCTTATCCTTATATCATATATATTCATTCGATCTTATTCGAAACAGAAATCCAATTGGGAAATTTATGAATCTGACATCGTTTTAATATTAAAAACAAAACTAAATTGGCAAATAATTCATTTATTCAGGGGTGTTGTAGAATATGATAGTTGTCGGAATTAGAATTTAAACCGATAAAAAAAATGTAGTAGGTGCCATGAACTCAGATATAATATTATTGGTTTGACGTTCGAAACAGAAATTGTATTGGTTTTGCGTGTCACGAAAACCAATTTTATCGGTTTTGTTATCAGAAACAAAACAAGAGGATAGTCGCAGACAGATTTGATATGAATGTTAAGAAATTAATTTATATTATTGTTACGATTTAATTCATCTCTATTTCTATTAGCGAAAGCATAAGAATAAAACACAAAATGTCATAACTATTGAGTTTATGGAAAAATCCAGACATTTGAAGAGGATTTACAAAACGTAATAAACGTAATTCAACAACAAAATGCGTCTTTATTCAGTCTTATTGATATAAATCTGTAAAGTAAGCATGTATACAACCATACAAAACATTCAAGCCAAATTTCACATACGACTCCCCTGATGCATCAAGTGGATTACTGTGATCTTTTAATATCTTCCTTTTAATTTTTTCGTTGCTATTTTCTTCCAATAAAATATAAGCTAAAATAGCGGAACTCATTGTAAACTTTAGTAAATCATATATATGTTCGAAGAGACGAAAATTCAATCAGATTCTGTCACACCATTGAAAATCATAATTGGTTTTCAATTCTGATAACTACGCAAATCTCTTTTGGATTCCACAACATTCCACGATTTGCGCATTGTTGCTACAAAAATTCTAATTAGATGAAATTGATGTTTTTCGAGGTTTTTCAAGTTCGAAAAGTGTGAGTCAAGAAATTGTTTTCAAGTTGATCACACAAACTATTGTATTTGTCAAAATTGACAGTCGTAACGTAGGCTGCAAGCAACTTGATAATCAATAATAATTTCAAGATGCCGTTGTTATGGAAACTACTTAAAATTTTGTACGAAATTTATAATATAATGGAATTGATATACTTAAGTTTGATATCAATCGATGAAAATAATGAAATATTCATATTCCTGACAGTTGCATGTGATTTGTTTCCAAATCCTTGTGCAAAACTATGTGATCAGCTGTTTGAACTTGATCGTCAACTTGCTACTCGACTTAAATGAGAAAATTGATATCAAGACGACTTTCAAGTTCTAAAAGTGAGAGTGTGTAGTATTGTAGAAAAGTGTAAGTGTTTCGCAATTTGAAAGCAATTTCTTGATGGTGTAACTGAATAGAAACTTCTGTATAAAACACACAGACGGCGACAAGCGACAAGCTGCATCTGTCAAATATTAAAATACACTCGTTTTTATGGGCACAGTTATTTAGAAATTAGCACGACTTCAGGGCAGCAGGCGCTAAGCACATAGACGACGATAAGCGACAAGAAGCATCTGTCAAATATTAAAATACACTCGTTCTAATGGGCACAGTTCTATAGAAAACATAACGACTTCACGGACGCAGGCTTTTAGTTGTCGCTGTCGTTAAATTAAAATCATTTCAAATTTGGTTGACGACAATAGAAATATTTTTCCTGAACAGTCTCGTACATATTTATACTACAGAGTATAATCGTTTTTTTCACCTAACGGTTGTTTGTATCACCTAAATCTAATCGACTTAGATATAGAGTTATATATATATAAATAATCAGGAGGAAGAGACGAGTTGAAATCCAGGTGACTGTCTGTCCGTGCAAGCTATAACTTGAGTAAAAACTTTATTTGGTATACAGGATCACATTAGGAAGGGGCATTTGAAGTTGAAAAATTGTTTAGAAAGTGGCGTGGTCCCGCCCCTAATAAGTTAAATGTGCATATCTCCTAAACCGCTAAAGATATAATAATCAAATTCACTGGGAAAAAATGTTTTTAGCACTTCTATTGACGGTGTGAAAATGGGTGAAATCGGGTGACAAGCCCGCCCACTCCCCATATAACGGTACTGTTAAAAAATGCTAAAAGCGCGATAAACCAAGCACGCCAGACACATTAAATTTTATCTCTGGGATTGTATGAGATGACTTTATAGGAACCGCGTTCAAAATTAGTCAGTGGGCGTGGCACCGCCCACTTTTAGGTGAAAACCCATATCTTGGGATCTGCTTAACCTATTTCAACCAAATTCGGTGCATAACGTTCTTTTCATATTTCTATGTGCGAAATTGGGCGAAATCGGACTAAATAGGCGTGGTCTATTTCCCATAAAACACCATTTTCAATGCCATCTGATTCTTTCACTTTCCACTATGCATATCAAGCAACAATGATTATATCGGGGTAAAACTTTGCGTTAATAATACGTTTAAAGTATGTGGCCAAAAATTGTCTAAATCGAACCAAAACTGTTTAAGCCCCTAAGTACTAAATATGTTGACCCCAGTGCCTATAGTTGACCTTCTACCGAAAATATCAGTCAATCCACAAAGAAATCTCAAACGAGTATACCATTTGACTTTGCGAGAGTATAAAATGTTCGGTTACATCCGAACTAAGCCCTTCCTTACTTGTTAGTGGTTTTTTTTTGATTACAAACTAATAAATAAAATGTGAGCATGGCATATTTTTGGCAGTAAACTAATATCATGTTTGAATATTAGGATAGACTGACTGCTTGCTAACCATAACTGATATCCATAATCTGAAGTCATAGTAAAATTACAGGAACATTAATATGAACTCAGATTCGTTCTATTCGATTTTACTCACATTGGATCGTTGAAATATTGAACAGAGTTAAATCGTTAAATGGTTTGTCATATTAAGTACGCAATCAAAAATATCTGTATAACAGATGTACTTTCAATAATATTTTGAGTATGGCATCATCATTTAGTACAAATCGAAATGGCAAGGCTATAAAATTTTACCCAGTCATTTTCATTACAATTTTTCATATTGTGCGTTTAATAATTTTTGAGCTGAAAAATGGATGTACTTATTCCAGAAAAGGTAAATATATTCTATATTTGTTTATTTTAATTTTAATAATTTACAAATTTTAAGGAGGATATACTTGACTTCAAGTTAAAGGATGCGCATAGTTCCTTAGATGAACTTGACATAGATGATTTATATGTCCGATATAAGGTAAAAAAATAATGTGCGAAAATTCTTAATAACTACTTGTACTAATTCTTTAGAAACTTCAAAAAACGCTTGAATTTTTGGAAGTACAAGAAGAATATATTAAGGACGAACAACGGAACTTAAAGAAAGAATACCTTCATGCCCAAGAAGAGGTTAAACGTATTCAATCGGTCCCATTGGTTATCGGACAATTTTTGGAAGCTGTTGACCAGAATACAGGAATAGTAGGTTCTACTACAGGTTCTAATTATTATGTTCGTATATTATCTACGATCGATCGAGAATTGTTAAAACCTTCGGCATCGGTTGCATTGCATAAACACAGTAATGCTTTGGTAGACGTGCTACCTCCAGAAGCCGATAGTTCTATTTCAATGCTTCAACCCGATGAAAAGCCAGACGTAAGTTACGCAGATATTGGTGGCATGGATATGCAGAAACAAGAAATACGTGAAGCTGTGGAATTACCTTTGACGCACTTCGAGTTATACAAACAAATTGGTAATAAATAATGTAAATTAAAATAGCAAATTAAATCAACTTTATTCATAATTTATAGGTATTGACCCCCCTCGTGGAGTGCTTATGTATGGACCACCTGGTTGTGGGAAAACTATGTTAGCCAAGGCTGTAGCACATCATACCACTGCATCATTCATACGTGTTGTTGGTTCAGAATTCGTTCAGAAGTATCTTGGAGAAGGTCCTAGGATGGTACGAGATGTTTTTCGTTTGGCAAAGGAAAATGCTCCAGCTATAATTTTCATTGATGAAATCGATGCTATTGCTACTAAACGGTTTGATGCTCAAACTGGTGCAGATAGGGAGGTTCAACGTATTCTTTTGGAGCTGTTGAATCAAATGGATGGATTTGACCAAACGACAAATGTTAAAGTTATTATGGCAACCAATCGAGCTGATACATTGGATCCCGCACTTTTACGTCCTGGCCGTTTGGACAGAAAAATCGAATTTCCACTACCAGACAGAAGACAAAAGAGATTGATATTTTCAACAATTACGTCGAAAATGAATTTAAGCGAGGATGTTGATTTGGAAGATTTCGTGGCACGTCCAGATAAAATATCTGGTGCGGATATAAATGCCATATGTCAAGAAGCTGGAATGCATGCTGTGAGAGAGAATCGATATATAGTTTTAGGAAAAGATTTCGAGAAAGGATATAAAAATAACATAAAAAAAGATGAGCAAGAACATGAGTTTTATAAATAAGTACTTCATAGATATTTTCTAAAAATTGTGTATTAAAATTTGTTCTACTTTTTAATTTTTTTTTTTAATTTTTTATTGAAGCTGTTTAATAGATTTGCATCATATGACTGGTGTGTAACTATCGTCTATAAAACGTAAAAAACCACAAAATTCATACAAAATAGACTTCTGGATATTGATAAGTACTGTAAAATCGGAATGTACTTAATAAATATATGATTACTTTGTTTTGTATTGTAGCGGTTATTGTAGAGTTAACAGTACTTGGCCTGATAAAAATCCGGATCCGTTCCGGTTAGGTAGACCCGACTGTTGTGGAAACGTTTTTTGTATTCTACAATGGTTCTTATGCAATAAATTACAAAGTTAACGCGACCAGCACGTAGACATTCGAATACGCAGGGAAGTTGTATTTCCACTCTCATTATGCACTAGCTAGCGTGAACATAGATAAGCGTGAACCATGAGCATGAATACGGATGCGCTCGAGATGGCAATCACCATAGCAGTGTTGCAAATTTGTCAAAGTATCGCGTTCTTCGTAAATTCCTTGCAACAGCATCACGTTCTACTGTCACTTTTTGCGCTCAATTTACGCAAATAATCGGCAACACTAAATTTTTGTTTGTACATCAGCAGAGTATCAGCAAATATGCAACCCAGTTGCTGTACTGCTGTAATTTTTATGTAGCTCGAACTTACCATTCATCCGACTAAACTTTGCATTGATTCAGTTTAACGAATTGAAGTGCGTACTGTGGAGTTGCTCGAAAATGTAGTTCTAGCTTTATACGAAACTTTGCATTCCATCAAAACGCAATCACGCCAAACTTCAATCAACCGAAAGTATTTCGTTTGATCAACACACTAAATAGGTTGAAAAATCTTTCATCTTTGGAGATATCCCACCGCGAGCGCAGGATCTCTATTCTTGTCTTACGAGTCGTAACCTTAGATAGATAGATAGATTTATATGAGGTTTTTCACCGAGAGCCGGCCCCATTTCGCAGAACCGGCAGTAGCCACAAGGAGCTATGCCCATGTTGGACAGATGTTTCTTGAGACTGCAGTGCCCAGTGTAGAGCGCAACAAGGAGCCGGAGTTTGTCTCTGGGGAGGTTTATCATAGCTCTGAACCTGGCTAGATTGTACACTCCCAGTAGCAGTTTAGCATGATGCATCCCTGCTGGTTGTTGCCAGTGACTATCTCTGCTTGCTCTCTCCTCCGTGCTGAGCAGCTCCTTTATTGTATGAGGCCCCACCGCAATGCATGGTTCTGACCCCATTATTCTAGAGCAGCAGCAGAGCGGGCAAGTTCGTCTGCCAACTCGTTACCGGTTACCCCTTATGCCCCGGCACCCAGATCAGGTGTACACGGTTGCAAGCTTCTGGGCGGTTCAGCCTTCCTATGCACTCCTCCACTAGTAGCGATTGTCTCATAGGCCGATATTGCTTTTAGCGCCGCTTGGCTATAGCTGAGTATAGCAATACTCTTATTTCGATAGTTGCGTTGGAGTTTTATTACTGCAACCTGACTTATGGCAAATACTTCTGCCTGAAAGATGCTCGGAAAACAACATATGGGTATGGAAAGCTTGGTATGCGGTCCCGCAATGCCAGCTCCAATTCCTTCCGGTGTTTTCGTGTTAGTGTGTTGCCTCTCAGCTGTTGGTCGTGGAATTGTGGAATCACTCCAGTCCGCCTTACTGCCGAGATCAACTTTAAACTTTTTCGTAAAGTTTACCCTCTTCGTTACACCGTCTCTTGGGAGAAGGACCAGTGGCGTGTTATCCTCTAAGGCCCTCAGTTGTTGCGGCGACATTAACTTCCCTTTTCCATATCCCTATGCTGTCATAAGCAGCATGGTATGCTTCGCAGTCTGTTTAGTAACTAAATGGAGCGGTGTGAGCTCTAGTATTACCTCAAGTGCTGCGGTGGGGCAGGTGCGCATTGCCAGTGGCGCAGATGCAGGCACGTCATTGCAGCTTCGATAATTGCTGACCTATCGAAGTCTGCCCTGCTTTAGATGCCCAGACCACCGCTCCATATGTAACAATAGGCCCCACGATCATGGTGTACAGCCACCTGGTGATACTTGGCTTGCAACCGCAGGATCTGCCGGCCAGGCGTCTGCACACCATGAGTGCCTTTGTGGCTTTGGATAGCGTTAGCTCCACCGCAAGGTAGAGTCTAGTGTGAGACCCAAGTATTTAACTTAGGCAGAATGACTGCCAGTCTGATCAGTCCGCCCCAAGCTTCATCCCGTTGTAATGTTCGTACGAGAATCACTTACCAACTCCTGGTTCTTCGTACACTCTGTTTCGTGCGTCAGGCCGCCATACGTCGGAACGTCATATCAGTCAAGTGCAATTCAGGTGTCGGCTGGTGTCAATTCCCGACATGTTCCGGCCTGCGCTCCATGCGTGATTGGAGTGTATCGTATGTACCTCGTGCTGTAAGAGTTTGCACCCGCAACACCTTACAGTGGCGTCGCCAAACAACACCACAGTGCAATAAACGCCCTTTCGGGTTCTACAGCTGCAACAACCACCGCCTACACGACACTCCCTCACTCCCAGGATCCCTTCTAGACACCCGAGACAAACTAGACTTTTACAATCGAGGAGATAGCTGCATTTATGAGCCGGGAACGCGTATCGATACCTGCGGGCCAAGAACCAAGTTAAATCGCCGCTCAGATCTTCTGAGTTGTTCAGGTTTCAACGCAATACGTAAGGAGCGCGAGCGAAATAATTGTCGAGGCCTAGCCTTCATTCTGCACAACACCGTGCAATACTGTCTCATTGATGGCGTGATTGACGCAGGGATACTACAATTGAATGTCAGGGCATAGCTATCCGATCAGGCAATGTCATGTTCGAAATACCATATATACATCCCCTCTGTTACATGTTGCCAAGCAGAATATCACCAGAACATAGGTGCGCTACTTCGTTGTGAAAATCGTTTGATACTAGGCGACTTTAACGCGCACCACAATCTTTGGCAGTCATGCCTCTCAAACGATCGTAGGGGGATGGAGCTGGCGGAACAGATAGACGATTAGACATTCTGCACAATGAATGACGAAGCTTCCACTAAAATATGGGCGCCTGTAGTAGCTTGTCGAATATTACCATCCCTAGTGGTGGTCTGATAAATAGCATAACTTGGCGACCTATGCTAATCCTCGCATTAGACCATCTGTCCATAATATTTTGACCGAAAACCCTCCCGACTTTATCTCTGCATACAACCGCACCTTTGTTAACTTAAAAAGAGCTAAAGTACATTTTCCAGCCGAAGCAGCGAGCACGACACCTTACGCCATGTAAGGTGATCTCCAAATAAGGGATCTCAATGCGGAGATTCGGAAAATTGTGAATCAGCATAAGTGGTTAAAATGGGAAGAACACCTGAAGTCTTGTAACCTCTTCACCGGTGTGAGTAAGCTTTGGTCTACTGTCAAGTCCTTGTCAAATCCGATTAAACACGACGACCAGGTGGAAATTTAATTCGAAGGCCATGCTTCCTCGGGGTGACCCGATTCTAGCAGACCATTAACAGATCTTAGCACTTAGCGACATAAACGTCCAGATAGTTCATGGCCTAAACCAAAAGTCACTCTGTGAGAGGACCTCGTAGTGTTGGACTTGTCAAGAGCTTTGGACACATTCAATCATACAATGCTACTTGAGGACATAGAGCAATCAACGCTCCCTCCAGGACTGAAGAGATGGTTTCGAGGTCAAGACTCTAAACTCTTCGGACTGTCAATAACACTAAGATTTTAGGTGTTACATTCGACAGCATGTGCTCCTTCATACGACAACTGCCAAAGTACAGAGCCGCAACAAAATCCTTAAGTCTCTAGCCAGCATGGCAAAAAGACAAAGAAACGTTGTGGGCTTCAGACGAGTCAAAATACTGCACTCCGGACTATTACAGGAGGCCTCTTGATGTCTTTGGTTGAACATTTGCACCACGAGGCCAATAATGATTTCGGTCAAGGAATATAATAACCTCCACGAGGATGAAAAGAGAGAGAGAAGTCCAGCATGACTTCGGTCAAGGAATATAATGACATCCGCGAGGATGGAAAGAGAACGAGCGATAACTCTGCTTAAGAACACTTTTCAGGATCCACAGCAAGTATCTTAAACAGTCATAGTGAAGAACTAATCTCAACAACTGATACATGATAAAAGATAATCACCTACAGACCGGTACAGTAGACTCTCCTACAGAATGGAGAACAACAACTAATATCCGTGCTGGTGCACATCATGAGAGAAAGCATAGCTTGAGCATACATACTTATGGCCAAGTCCTTCAAGCCAATAAGCTTAACATCCTTTAACATAGAGGCCATGGCCATATGCCTATTTAGAATGTAGATCAATCAATATAGCGTTATTCCAACTCTCAGACATTTTAAGGAATGCAATAGACTTACGTAAGAAATGCGTTGAAAAACTAGTTAGGAACAGGATAAGCTCATGTTTAAAAATAGGTTAGCAAAAAAGCTAGTAGATAGTGAAACCATTCCAATAAGAACCACAAGACGAGGCCACCAAGGAGGAGTACTATCCCCTATCCTATGGAGCCTAGTAGTAGTTGATTTTGCTAGACCTTCTGACAAATAACGGCATGTGCGATATTATACAGAGAGCGCTCACACTAATAAAGAAATGCTGCTCAGAAGCAAGACTAAGCATCAATCCTGCAAAGACTGCTATAGTGCCATTTACTAGAAAACATAAAATAAATATGAAAGATATAGGAATAGGTAATATTAGAAAACATAAAATAAATATGAAAGATATACTAATAAGTAATATCGTAATAGAACCCATTCTCGAAACATAATACTTCGGGATTACTTTCGACTCTAGAGTAATGTGGAAAAGGCACATGGACCAAGCAATCAGTAAAGCGACAAGGTCACTGATGATATGCAGAAGAATAGTTGGAACGACATGAGGATGCACCCCCAAGATAATACACTGCATGTATACTATATTGGCAAAGCCGGTAATCAGATATGGAGCAATTACCTGGTCGGAAAGAGTGAAACTAAACTCAGCAAGAACGGCACTGGCAAAACTACAAAGACTTGCGTTCGCGTGTACAACAGGTTGCATGAAAACATGCACCACAATGGCACTGGAAGCCCTACTCGACCTCACAACCCTTCACGAAGTTATAAGTTTTCGCAAAAGAAAACTTTTTCCACGTGT